TCCCTTAATATCCTAAAGTAAAAATTGGACAGCATTTCTGTAGACTTCATTATAGGATTGCCTTGAAGAGCTTCTAGTCATGACACTATATGGGTAATTGTGGATGTACTCACCAAATCAGCCTACTTTTTAGTTACCAATATCACCTATCCTCTTAAGAAATTAACCGAAAACAATATAAGCGAAATGGTGAGATTGCAAGGAGTGCTGACTATTATTTTATTTAACCGTGATCTAAGGTTCACATTGAACTTTTATAGGTCATTTTAGGAAGCCATGGTTACTCATTTAAGTTCTAGCACCGCTTACCACCCCTAAACGGATAGGCAAACAGAGTGAACTATTCAGACTCTTGAAGATATGTTAAGGGCCTATGCCATTGAGCTTAAAGGTAATTGAGATAGTTACTTGTTGTTAGCTGAATTTGCCTAAAATAATAGTTTTCACACTAGCATCTAGATGGAACCTTACAGAGCTTTATATAGAAGAAATGTAGATCACCCTTTTATTAGAAAAAATTGAGGATAGAATTGTTTTGGGGCTAGACATTGTTGATAAGACTACCTGAAAGATTACTTTAATTAACTAAAAGGTACTCACAGCTCAAACTAGGTAGAAGAGTTATATGGATAAGAGGAAGAGACCACTTGAGTTTGAAGTAGGCGACTATGTTTTTTTAAAAATCTCTTTAATAACTAGTGTTAGAGGAGCAATTAAGGCTAAGAAGTTGACTCCTAAGGTTTATGGGACCTTTTGAGATTTTATAGAGAGTTGGACTAGTAGCATACAAAGTTGCATTACCTTTAAGCTCTTTCTCACTTCCAACTATTTGTGCTTTGCCTTAGTTAAATTGTATTTCTTGCGGTGTTTAATATAATACAACGTCATTTGAACCTAAAATTTAATAAACCATTTAAAACCCCTCGAAACCTATCTCACTATAGTTTTGACATGATCTATTGGTCCGATCAAAATTTAGACACCTAAATATAAAAAATCAATTTTTTAAAAAAAATTTGCATAACTAAGCGCTCAAATTGATTATTTTCTTTCATTAGACCACCCAAGGCCTTGAATCAAGTCCAAAAAGACTTGAGACACTTGATTGACCACATTATATCACATACACATGCCTATACCAAAATTTGATCCCTCAACAACCAATTTCCACATTTCACAGTTTCATACAATTTGCCAATTCTTAGCACAACTTGGTCCACTTGGCCTTTTTCTCAACATATTCATGTACATTTACATTCATAACATATTTACAATACAATCTTAGCTCCAATTACTCATTTCATCATAATTTCATAATTAGGTTTAAGATTCACTAACATCAACAACAATTTCAACATAATAATACTCAAATCCTAGCCCTTGATTCAATTCATTACATATACATATAATTGGGCTAAGATTTCACAAAATCACTACTAAAATCATGCATACAACCCTATGGCAACTCATTTATATATATATACACAAGTTTCTTAGTTCATTACACAAACTCAGAGACTTCCATGACAATGATACTACTATACCGGTCCTATCTCTCTTTTCCCTTGCCCTAATCACTGCTAATCCTATAAAAATCTTAGTAACAAAATAACTCACTCCTATTGACTATCACATGCAATAATATAAAAGTAAAGCATAACATACCATTTAATATAACATGTCACATATTTCATTTTCAATTCTCAACCACATATATCCATTCACCACTTTCTCATTCACAATATATAACATCACATAGCATGATTACTACCGACTAAACCTCCAAATTACCCCGACATGAAACTATAAGCTCACCTTAGACTAATGTACACTCTCATTGGCTCTGAGCTCATCGGTGGTAAAATCACATAGCCAAAAGTGTTCTATCTTAATTTTGAACTATGGTTTCCCCCAATACACACAATGAGGTGTTGTTGACACCAACACCGTCTCACACAGATACTAAGGAGTCTCAAATCTCTAACACTACATCTCAATAGGCACTGAGGAGATTTTCTCCAACACTGTACTTTAAAAGGTACTAAGAAGTTATAACTCTCCAACATCGTATCCCATCGAGTACTAAAAAGAATATGCCATATGGTCTTATCACCACCTCTCTACTCGGGTGAACTTCTACCTTTATGATCATGTTTTTTGAACCATTCAAGATTCTCATTTACCACTTTATATACTTTCTCACATTTAACATATAAATATTATATGCCATTTAAAATCACTTATTTTAATGCATTATTTTAGTCAAAAACTATTTCATGCAACAATCACGCGATGTTATAAAACATGCTTGGTTCAAAAAAAACACTTTTATGCATTGCCTAGCAAACTCACGCACAGTTACAATAAATAGTCAAACAAAGGAAGTTATTCGACTATCTCAACTCTTGTCACTATAAAGGTTACTCATGAATTTCAACCACCACTATAGTTTATCTCAAGCTTTTTTTTCTCTACTCACACGTCTAATATCCTAATTTGAACACATTTAGCACCTTTTAGTCATTTGGTTCATTTTGACCAAAAACTCATATTTACTACCTAAGATTATATTTATCCATAAACTCTTTTTTATTTATCCATTTTAGATCTATTGCTACTTGATTACTATTTTACATCACCTTAACCAGTCTTATTTCGTTCAAATTAGATTTCTGCCTTAAATTCTCTCTCTCTAAGGGCCAAATTAAGCCTATGGGTTCAAAGATGTACCATTCAATTTTAAACTAGTCACAAAGCTCTAATTTAGCTCCTGAGAACCTTTTTATTACTATTGGGTATGAATCAAACCCCTTAAATTCCACCGATTCAATTTTCCTATAACTCATTTTCAAAGAAATTTGTGTAGAATGAAAGGTAAGAATTATACATAGCTTACTTACTAAGTTATCAATCAAAAACACTTTCTAATGACCTAAAATGGCTTGCCCTAGTTCTTCCTTTACTTTTCTTCTCTCCCTTTCATATGTTTTAGATTTCTCTTCTCTAAAATTTCACGACTTAAAAAGTCATTTTCTGATCCATACACCATAATGCATGCAACACGAGCTGCAGCGTGAGGCATTGTGAGATTTATTCTCACCACACGCACTTGCTTTGATCCGAAACATAATCCTCTTACCTGTACCTACTTATTTAACATCCTAACAAGTCAAACTATAAAATAATCATTTGAATCTCTAATCCCACACTAATTACCACTTTACCCTCAGTTAATGGCTAATCACAGGAATAAAAAATTCAGGATGTTATAGCAGGCAAGTTTAGCCAAACTTCATCTTGCTTATTGTCATATTTACGGTATGTTTATTTTTACATTTGTTTTTGCTTACTTAATCTTGATATTTCTGTTTAATGTGTCAAATTGTTTTCGCAACAAATTTATTATGTCAGCATAAAAATTTGGTCTTTGATATGCTTATACTTAATTGTTATCTCTTTTTATATGTTTAACTAAGTTTTCTTCCTCTTTATGATTTTAAAAAAATAAAAACAAAAGATAGTTTCTCAAATCATCAACAAAAGAATTATATTTATAGGTATGTGACTAAGTTGAAATGTGCAATTTAATACACATGCCAAGACACACATCATCATCATAATTATTATTTTGGGCTAAAAAAAGTACTTTATTATTTAAAATCATGTTTTTCTCTCCTTATTTCTCTTTATTAAGATATATGAGTTTCATTTAATTCTTATGTTAATTTGTGCATAACAATTTTATTTTCAGTATTTTGAATTTTTTATAGATTTGAATGAGTATGTTTTTTATGAATTCTAATGAGTAATATTAAATTACATTAGTTTTGGATATTAGATAATATATTCCCTTTTAAATATTTCAATAATTTTATACTTTCATGTTTATTTTCTTTTTCTTACTCAATCACTCTTTACCTTGCAATTTCATTTGTTTACATCATGTCTTCTCATTTTCAATGGGGAGTTAGACTAATTAGGTGTCTCATTGAAATGGCACTAAAATACAAAAACGAGTATATGGATAGTTCAATTTTGAGTGTCACACATGAGATTAGATATCAATAGGCAAATGCCCTAAATAATATGTTAAACATTAATGAAGTCGATTAGGGGATAGTTTGATGAAGAATTCAATTTTTATATTATGCTCTTCATTCGACAAATGTAAGTTTTTTCATTTTTTGCAAGCTTCTTAGGCATGATATGAGGATGAAATCTGGCAAGTTTCATAATTTTTGGACACTTATAGAATTTTCTAGAATTTTTTGATTGATTCGAAGAGTGTGGCCTCCATAGGCGATGGCTCCAGTAGCCGAAGCCCCTACATGTCAAGGGGGATAAGTTTGAGTTAATAAAACCAAAAAATCACAAATGTAATGAGCAGTTTTCATTTTAATACATAGGACTTTTTATGCATTGTCAGGACTTGCCCGTGGCTAGTTTGGACGTGCTAGGATCCCCATCGCCAGTCTAAAGTGCTAGGACCTACTCATGGCCTGTTTGAACGTGCTAGGACCTACCCATGGCCTGTCTAGACATGCCAAGACTTGCCCTGGATGTGCTCAGACTTACTGGTGGCCTCTTTGGATGTGTTAGGACTTGCTCGTGGCCGATCTGGACGTGCTAGAACTTGCCCCAAGCCTGTCCAGACTTTACTTGTGTTAGGTCTAGACCTTGGCAAACACTTGCCATGTCCTTTACCCAAGGTTGCCAACCCTTGCCCTTATCGTGCCAGAGCTTTGCCAATAATTGCCACAACACTGCATCACTTGCCATGGGCATTACCCAAGGTTGCCAACACCTTGCCTGGACTATGCCAGAGTTCTTACCAACATATGACATAACGCTCTATCACTTGCCATGGGCTTTTGCCTAAGGTTGCCAACACTTGCCTCGTCCTTGCCAGAGCTTTGCCAACAATTGCCACAATGCTCCATTATATGCCACATCGCATGCCATAACCTTCGGCCTATTTTTGGATATGAAAGGTGGGAGGGAAGAATCAAAGTGACTTTGGATGAATCTCAATGGATCATAGCAGTAAGACCACTCTACCACTTACAATACCTAGTCACTTATTTAAGTCGTCTATAAAGGATTCTACCTACCGCTTGATAGGAATTTCTTTAAAGCATCCCTTATGACTTATCTGTCATAAAGGTACCGCCAACAACATATGCCTTTAGGGGCTGAGGCCTTTACTACTGGTTGGCAAACAGACGACAAGTGCACACGTTGCTTCTAGCTCAAATTCTGACTTAGAGGCATTCAGTCATAATCCAATACACGATAGCTTCGTGCTAATGGCTTTTCAACCAAGCACGATAATCAATTGTGCGAATCAATAATTCCTCTCATACTAGGTTGAATTACTATAACGACATTGTCATCAATAGGGTAAAACTAACCTATTTCATGACAATCTAAACTTAGGTCACGTTCCCTATTGGTGGGTGAACAATTCAACACTTGGTAAATTCTACTTCACAATGATTAGAAGAACCGACATTAAAGGATTAAAAGCAACGTCACTATGAATGCTTGGCTGCCATAAGCTAGGTATCCTTATGGTAACTTTTTTGACAACTCTAACTTCAAATGCTGAAGGACTAAAGGATCGATAGGCCACTCTTTCACAATTCATATTCATACTAGAAATCAAAATCAAACAAGCTTTTACCCTTTTATTCCACATAAGATTTCTATTCTTGTTAAGCTCATCTTAGGACACCTACATTATCTTTTAATAAATGTGCCACCCTAGCCAAACTCCCTACCTAACAATGTCTTCTACTTGGATCGGCTCCTTGAGTGAGCCATGGGTCCAAAAAGAAGGGCGTTACCCTACCTCCGATTTATGAAATAAGTCAAATAACATTAAAAGTAGTGATATTCCACTTTCACCATTTTCGGCTCCCATTTATCCTACACTGCTCAAGTCATTTCACAAAGTCGGACTAAAGTCAAGCTCAATAGGTCTTCTTTCCCTACTGATTCTGCCAAGCCCATTCCCTTGGCTGTAGTTTCATTGGACAATAGACAAGGATAGTGGGAATCTCGTTAATCTATTTATGCACATCACTAATTAGATGATAAGGCATTTGGCTACTTTAAGAGAGTTATAGTTACTCTCGCCATTCACTTGTGCTTGGTTGAATTTCTTCACTTTAACATTCAGAGCACTGGGCATAAATTACATTGCATTAACATCTACAGGGACTATCACAATACTTTATTTTAATTAAACAATCAAATTTGCCTTATCTGTACTAATTATGAGTCGACTATTCGACGCTCAAGGAAGGGACCCTGAAGGGCCCATTCTTAATCCATCCCCTGACCAGCACGCAACAACCTACTCTTATTGCGGGAGCAACTCGAGCAATCTATTGATAACTAACAGGTTCGGGGCTGGGACCCCCGTGCCTAACCCTTAGAGCTAATCCTTTTTATATGGTTATGGATCCATTTTACCAACTTTCTACCTATATTATTCCATCAACTAAAGGCTGTTCATCCTAGAAACTTGATGCGGTTATGAGTACAATCAAGCGTGGGAGGTACTCGGTCCTCTAGATTTTTAAAGGCTACTGGGGATGTACTAGATACCACGTGACGTGCGGTGCTCTTCTAGCAATAAGACCCTACCTCTGGCTGATCCGTTTCTAGGGTGGGCAGGCTATTAAACAAAAAAGAGAACTCTTCTTGAGGCCTTTGTAGATGTCTCCTGACTCCCTAACATTTTTGTCTGCCACCATGTCCCAATTCAAGAATTTTAACTTGATTCCCTTTCAAAGTATGCATGTTACATGCTATTAAACAAGCTTCCCCCATCTCTTAGGATCAACTAACCCATGTGCAAGTTCCGTTAACATGGAACCTTTCCCTTTTTTGGCCTTTAAAGTTCTCATTTGAATATTTGCTACTACTACTAAGATCTATATCGACGACCACTCCGCTCGAGCTTGTACCCAAGGTTTTGTAGTAACCATTGAGCCCTCCTTCTTATCAAGGCCTGTCACTTCCCTGATGGTCGGGTATAGGTCGCACGCTTTAGTGTTTCCATTTTTAGGGCTAGTTGATTTAGCAAGTGAGTTGTTACATACTCTTTAGCAAATTTTAACTTCCATGACCACTATCCTGCTATCTTAATTGACAAACATCCTTTGTGGGATCTAGGTTAGTGTACAGTTAGGCACTGTAACGTGACTTCTAGTTTATCCTGCGTCACCCGTTCTGCTTCTAAAAAATAGCCCACTTGGAGCTCTCGATTATATGACACGGATTAATAGAGCAGTTGCACAGTCCTACCTATTTAAAGTTTAAGAATAGGTTGAGGGTATTGTGCCCCTGATGCCTTTAATCATTGGCGTTACTTGATACAACTTGTACTTGGCCTCCGCTATCCTGAGGTAAACTTCAAAGGGAACTAGTTACTAGATGATTTGATTAGTCTTTTGCCCCTATACCCAAGTCAGATGAATAATTTGCATGTCAATATCATTTCGGGCCTCTACTAGAGTTTCCTCTGGCTTCGGCTCACTCAGGCATAATTCACCATCTTTAAGGTCCTGATAGGCATGCTCTCACTCGAACCCTTCATAAAAGATCAAGGTCCGTTAGCAGTGTAACCTATTAGGAGATCTTGCTAATTAGCTTCCTTCTACCTTACGGGTTTACTTACCTATTGACTCGCACACATGCCAGACTCCTTAGTTCGTGTTTTAAGACGGGTCAAATTGAGAGCTCACGGGCCGATGTCAGGAGCCCGTAGGTGTCGAGATATGCCATGATAGTGCACGCTTCTAGCCACGATCACGGTGATGATGTTACCACGGGCATACTAATAGCACAGGCTTGGGCTGCCATCGCAATCCGCATCGATCCATATCTCGAGTCGATCGGCTAACCAACTCATACTGTTCAACATCTAATTGAGATGCATCACTAGCCCTTATCCGCTTTCCTCCTGACAATTTCAAGTACTCTTTAACTCTCTTTTTAAAGTCCTTTTCATCTTTTCTTCATGATGCTTGTTTGCTATCGGTTTCTCGCTAGCATTTAGCCTTGGACAGAATTTACTGCCCGATTGGGGTTGTATTCCCAAACAACCTAACTCGTTGATAGTGCCTCTCGGTGCGATAGGGTCCAAGTACGATAGGGCTCTCACCCTCTCCGGCACCCTCTTCCAGGGGACTTGGGCCCGGTCTGCTGCTGAGGACACTTCTCCAGACTATAATTTAGATGTCGAGGGCAACCGATTCTCATAGTGGACTTTTCTCAGTTTGCTTGCCGTTACTAAGGAAATCCTTATTAGTTTCTTTTCCTCTACTTATTGATATGCTTAAACTCATTGGGTAGCCTCGCCTAACCTAGGGTCACATTCAGGGACACTGATCTGACAACTTGACTTGGGGGATGACACGCACACGTGTGGGATCAATTAACATCTCAACCACCTTTGACCATAGCGGTCGTCACTGAGGGGCGACTTTTAGCCTGTTGAGAGGTAAGACTCTTAGGAGGCCACCTTCCACCTTGTATGGTTTCGGGCAATGGCGATGTTGCATGACACATATGCAAATATGCCCTCAACCTAATGGCTTCTAGCGCAACTTGCATTCAAAGACTTAGTGGTTCACAAGATTTCACAATTCACACCAAGTACCACATTTCACTACATTCTTCATCAATACGAGAGCTGACATATCTATTGCCAAGAGTCATTTTAAGATACAAATGGTAAAAGATGTGGTGCTAGCTTTAAGGGAACTGCTTTTGATCTACCAGTGATGCACAGCTTTTTTGTGTTTCCTTAGCACCTTAGGTACTAAGGTTAGTTATTATGCTGGGGGCTTAGACCTGCATGGAGTAGAGACCACATTCCCAGCTTGTGCGGGGAGGCTCACGATATGGGCGCACTCCGGCCTCCCCCTGTATGGAGGTTTTCAAACTGATTCTCAGGTCAATCTTTCGTGAGGCATCAATAATGATCCTTCTACAGGTTCACCTATGAAAACCTTCTTACGACTTTTCCTTCCTCTAAATGATAAGGTTTGATGGACTTCTTGTGACGTCATCGACAGCGAACCGCCCACGTCATCGTGATCCAAACACTTCACCAGACCATTCAATCGATAAAAGTAACGGGTGGTGTGTACAAATGGCAGGGACATAGTCAACGCGAGCTAATGGCTCGTGCTTACTAGGAATTCCTTATTGAAGACCAACAACTGTAATGATTTATCCCCATCATGACAAAATTTTAAAGATTACTCAGGCCTGTCGGCCAAGGATATAAAATCGTTAAATACATCAGTACAGCTTGCGTGCGGCCTATAATATCTAAGGGCATCACAAACCTATTATTGCCTAAAACTTCCTTGGTCTGAACAGTTATAGTCCCTGTAAGAAGCTGGCCATAAAGGGTTGCCTCTGCATAGCTAGTTAGCAGGCTAAGGTCTCATTTGTTAATGGAATTAATTAGACAAATCGCTCCACTAACTAAGAATGGCTATTCACTACCACCCATAGAATCAAGAAAGAGCTCTCAGTTTGTCAATCCTTACTATGTCTGGACCTGGTGAGTTTCCCCATTTAAGTTGAATTAAGCCATAAGCTCTACTCTTGGTGGTGCCCTTCCATTAATTCCTTTAAGTTTTAGCCTTGCAACCATACTCCCCCCAGAACCCAAAAACATTAATTTCTCATAAGGTGCCAGCAGAGTCCTAAAAGCAACATCCATTGATCCCTGGTCAACATTGTTTATGGTTGAGACTAGGATGGTATCTGATTGTCTTTGAGCTCTCAATTTTTGTTCTTGATTGATGAAAACATCCTTGGTAAATGCTTTCGTAGTTGTTTATCTTTCATAAATCTAAGATTTTCACCTCTGACTGTGAAATATGAATGCGCTCAACTATCCCTCTTAATCATTACTCTGATCTTGAAAGCCAACACAATAAGATCAGAATCCTATAATGTTATCCTATACTAATGTATCTAGAGCATAAGCTTGCTTTAAGCACTCTAATTTCTTCAAAGTAACAATGCTGGAGGCACAACCTAGCCAGTTAAGCCCAAAAGCACATCGCTAGTAGAAGGGACAAGCCAACCGGTGCACACTAGAGGTGGATCGATTAACCAACCCTGAACCCTAAAACCTTAAGACCCTAAACCTTAAACCTTATTGTTAACCTCTAGAAGTGTATGTTATTTCATCACATTTTTCTTAAATTCTAATCCATTTTGGCTCAATTGTGTATGTTTTTATTGCCTAAATTAGGAAAATGTGCATTTTGTTTTGGGTTTGTATTCTTAACTTTGATTTAGTATTTTTAGCTTAATTTCATGTTATTTTGGTTGAAATTTTGATTAGAAGCATTTCTGGAGCTTTGTGGATGTTTTTGGGAAGGCTTTTGGATGAAGAAATCAAGCAGAAAATGAATGATTTTTGTTAGTTGCAAAAACAGTGCAAAATTGCCAAAGTCGTCCCAAAGTTGTGACTTTCATTCACAACTTTCGCCGCTGTCAGAAAAACGCTGTGTTTTATTTATCAGAAATTGGTTGGCTAGGACACATATAAGTTGATAGCTCGATCCAGAACAGATTCTTGAGACTTTTAAACATATTTGGAGCTTGGTTGTGCTAGGGTTTGGGCATTGGAAGAGTTGGGATCAAGAAATTGAAGCTTTAAAGACATTTGGATCTCATTTTCTTTGGCTTTTCTATTCATCTTCCCTTTCCTCTCTTGTAATCTGAAATGGGTCCACTTATTTTATATATTTATAGCTTGTGGATGATTATGAGTAGCTAAACCCTTTGTTCTACGATTATTTAGAACCTTTGTATTGATTAACACTATATTTCTCCTCTCTTTTTGTGATTAATGATATATGTGTTTATTTTACTCTTTCCTTAATGCTTCTACTTGATTGGCCACCATTTAGATGTTGGGTTCACTTAATTGATGCTTGAGAGAGCTAGGTTGAGTGTAGAAATTGAGTAAAATTATGGAAGAACTTGATATTTACATGTTGAATAGATGGTTTTGCTAGTAAGATAGAGATATACTTGCTAGCCTTGCATAGCCACATTAGGGTTGGTATTCAAAATTGAGTTTTATTAATTGTAACAAGAGATTGGGCAATTAATTTAACTAAACACTTGTTCATGACTTGAGAGAACTTGTCCAAGTATTTTTAGAACCTTAGGTTCGCACTTATTTTCATTAAAAGCATTTATGAGAGGAGGTAATTTTGGTGTTATGAAATGCAAGGGGGATAAATAATCCTAGGTCCTAAATTGTGATTGAAGTTTGTGAGTTCTTTATTTTTCTGGTGTTAGTTTCATTTGCAAAATCATTTCACCTAACTATGTATAGCTCAAATTGATCAAATTTTCTTAGTCTTTTGTTTGATTATAGTTTTTTCAACAAATCCTTAAGGGAATGGTACTTTACTCATTTTATATTACTTGCTACAACCTGTGTAGTTGCAGTGAGTAACACCTATACGCTAAACCCTAAATCCTAAACCCTAAACCTTCAACTCAAAACCCCAAACTTGAAGCCCCAAACCCCAAACCCTAAACCCTAAATCCTAAACCACAAACCCCTAAACCCTAAAAAACCCTTAACCTTCAACCCTAAAACCTAAACCCTAAAATCCAAACCCTAAACCCGAATGTGAACTCGAACCCCGAACCCCTGAACCCTAAATCCCTAAACCCTTAAAACCCTAAAACTATAAACCCCTAAAACCCTAAACCTTATATTTTAATTCAATCAAATCATAAAAATTAATCGAAGTTAAATTATGAGAAAATATTAATTTGATAATTTTATAAAAATAATAGTTTATAGAAAGTGTGAAATAAAATTGTATATGTGGTTATACATAAATAATTATTATAAATAAAAATTAACTATATATTTTTATTTTCCCAGAAGATTTGTGATTAAAAATAGAAATAAATAATAACTTGCTTTATCATAAAATCTATTATCCCATATATAATCAAATGTAGACAATAATTTATTTTAATCCATGAATTATTATATCCAGGTAAATTAAAATTCTAAAACATATAATAATAAAAAATTATAAAAATTTATCTTATTTTAGAATATTTTTATTTTAAATTATTGTATGAACATTGTAACATCTTAAACTTTAATCCAAAAAACTAATTAATAATTTTAAATAAATTAATAATTAGTGGATTAATTATAGTTTTTGGCAGTGTATTGATATTCTGTGTTGTTTGGCTGGTATGTTAATAAGGTCGAGTAGTGGAATGATGAATTAGATTGAAATGCTCGAGTAACAGTGAGAATTGTCCTATTCTGCCATACATAGTAGCATGTACTACATGTGGCGTAATGCATCGCATAAAATACTTAAATCTAATGTGCTTGCTTGTGGAAAAGTAGAGGAGAAGGAGGGGAAAATGCATGGGAGAGAGAAAGAGGGAGGCTTCTTTACTAGGGCTTTAGTTTTTGAAAGTTTAGGAGTTAACTATAACCAGTGACTTGCTAGGTAAGTTTCACTCTGCCTTGTACTACATTTCTACCCTAATTCCTCTTAGTTTAAGAGAAATTGAATTAGGAAGTTTTAAGGGTTTAAAATTTAGGTAAAAAGTTTTTAAAAGGGCTCTTGGGAGCGAAATTAAATTTTTGTGATTGGTTTGGAGTTTAGTAATTGAGCCTTAGAGATATAAGCTCAAATTAACATAAATGGTTAAGTTAAATAAGGTGAAAGTGCTAGTTAAGTGAGTAAAAAAGGTGTTTGGTCACTTTGGTGGCCTAGGAATGTGTGATTGTGGTGAACGGGTTGAGTGAACCTAAATAGTGCCATTGAGATTGTTATAAATGCCAAGTGGTGTAGCTTAAGCAACTTGTGTTTTGCATTGAGCTTGGAAACTGACTAAGGATGCCTAATTGTGTAGATTGAGAACTTAAGAAATTGGTTGTAGGAGTTTACACTTTTGAGGTGAAATTGTGTGAATAATAACCCTTGGTAATAAGGGTATGAGGTAAGTGGAGTAAATTATATGCATTATGTTTTATAAAAAGGTAGAGTAACAAAGTTACAAAAACTGATGGACATGAATGTGAGTAGAGATGCTTGAATTGTGTGTGGTGACACATGTGTATTTGCATCTATGAGTGTACCCTAGACTAGGGTAGGGGGTTGTGGCCCTACTCTGTATGAGGCTAAGAAGTCCTAGAGGTCTAAGGCATTGATTATGACCTGTCTAGTGAGGACTCATGAATACATCCACGAGTATACCTTAGACTAGGGTAGGGGGTTGTGGCCCTACTCTATGTAAGGCTAGGAAGTCCTAGTGGTCTAAGTGTTAATTTTTATCCACTAATGGG